TATCACCTTATCATGTAGACAAATACAGCAGCACAATTGCCACAGTAATAATAATAATAGTCCTTGCATCTGATGTAGCGCTTTTCACATCTTCTAAATGTCTCAAAGCGCTTCATAGGGTATACTGTAAAGTGAATTGACTGTATATTTGTGGGCGAAACGCGGCAGCCAATTGCACACCACAGCAATATCCCACAAACAGTCATGGATTGAAGTGACCAAATTATTATTTTTTTAGGGATTATTATCCCCAGAAAAGCGATCCACCAATCGACTAACAACCGGATTCCTACTTACTGCTGGGTAAACAGAGGCATGTGGAGTAAGGAAACTTGCCCAACATTTCACCCTGCCGGGAATCAAACCCAGGTCTCTCACTTGCGAGGCGAGTGCTCTAATCAATGAGCCACAGGACAGCCATGCAGTGAGTGACATTTTTATCTGGGGGTTAATTGGCCAGAACACCAGGAGAAACCCCCTTCTCTTTTTGAATAGTGCTCTGGGATCTTTATTATCCACCCGAACAGGCAGACAGACAGCAAGTGCCTCGGAACTTACTAATTAGAGATTGAAGAATCTGCTTAAATTAAACTTGTTCAGTTCTTACCACAGTGTGACCTTTTGAAAGGACCTCAGTTCAATGTCTCATCCGACAAGTCTGTTAGTTTAAGCTAAACAAAGACCAGTTTCTTTCATTCCCATCAAGTTTCTGTTCAGTTTATTCATGTTCATTTAATTCAACTATCATTTCAACACATCATGGGTACTCCAATTATAAACACAGCAGCAACCAGTAATTATTTTTGTGAATCCTCTGAATTGCTGAAACCTGCTTTTGAACATGTTTAGGAAAGAGTTATGTGTTGATGCCATAAACGGGAGAGTGGTTCGGATAAGATACTGAGCTTGGAGGACGTGAGGAACATGAATTAATACACGTTACACTTGAAACCGACAGGATGGTTGAAGTCTACTCAATTAATGACTATATCTCCACTCATGTTAAATCAGCTCCCTCACACTCAGCCCCTCATTAGTTTCCCACTGACCGTCTCTGTGATGAGAAAAAGAAATCACAGATAATTCAGATAAAAAAATGATCCTGCTTTGATACTTAAAAGAAAGACCAGACTAACAGAAAATACCAACCAGTTATCTGTAGTTTTTACTCCCTTCTCCCTTTTCTGTGGAGATCACAAAGACGTTAGGCACCAGGAAAGAGGAAAAATAATCAATAAAAAAATATATAGGGCTTTGGAACCGCTGTAAATGCAGTTACACAAGCTTTCAAAGCCGGATACATTGCTTCCTCAGGTGTGTTGCAGTGAAAGTCAATGCCAATAAAGTTTCTAGCCATTTGCAATCTTATGGTGCCCTCTGGCGGGCAGTGTGGCCCATTACAAATCACTGGAACGTGCACTTTTCATTGTTGAGCCATTCTAAATTTAGCCATTCTCACCAAACCGTGAATTCAAAAAGGGACGTAACATCTTTCAAAAGGTCATCACTGTGGTAAGAACTGAACAGGTTTAATCTGAACAGATTCTTCAATCTCTAATTAATAAATTGTGAGGTGCGCAGCAAGCAAGGGCACCCAGAGTTATTTACTCAAGCAATGTTTAACCCTCCCCCACCCCCCCGGCAGAGGATAAAAGCGTACCAAATGGATCGTATGTGTAAGAGCCTATTTGTACAGAGTGAAGTGAAGAGGGAAAAGCGGAGCCACTTGAGGTGGGGGAGGGTGGAAGGGATTGAGCTTGGTCAGGGGCACCAGCCAAAATTGCAAAATCCGTGGATTGCTTTTCTGCGGGTAATAATCCTTCTAAAAAATAAACACACCAATTGGTCACTTCAATCCACGGCTGTTTGTGGGACGCTGCTGTGCACAATTGGCTGATGTGTTTTGCCCACAAAATATGCAGTCAATTCACTTTACGGTATATTCTGTGAAGCGCTTTGAGACATCTTGAAGACGTGATAAGGCACTATATCAAATGCAACGATTATTATCAATATTTTAAAATGCATGTGCAAAGTCCTACATGTCTAAACAACTTTGAAACCCAAGCTACATCTTGTAACATATTTCTTCTCAGCTCAGTAAAGTGTTTTACCTACAAAATACAATCATTATACTTTACAGTAAATCCTGCTTTGAGACATACTCCTGACAGTAATTTGATTTAGCGCCTTTCAAGTCAGGCAGATATCCCAAGGCACTTTTACATACATACAGTAAAAGTGCTTTCAGATGTCCTCCTGACTTGAAAAACAATATATTAAATTCATGGTTTATTGTTATTTTATTAAGCACTTTGAGGCATTCCAACATTATAAATTGTAAATAATAATAAAATATATAAGTGAATATACTGTATATAAAATATAGGAACTATATCAAATGCAACGATGATGTTAATATAATCACAGCAGCAGAGCAATGGATTATAATCACCGATTGCAGCTAAATGTCTGATTTAAATCTGATTTTATGATAATGCTTTATTATTTCAAACTTCACACCTTGCAAATAATCTGTCAGTTGTAAAAGAGGAAAAAGAGGGATGCTATTTTTCTTTCTCCCTGCCCACTCTGCCAATTCCATTACAACAAAAGGTGCTCCCAGTTTACATTAGTTATTTTTGACACTTAATTGTATTTACAAGTCAGGACTCTTAGTGTCCCACTGGGATGTCTGTCCACACTGGAGGCAACAGAGAAACTGGAGGAAGGATTCACAGCTGCATTTAAACATGTACCAGCTGCAGGCGACTCAGGAAACTGGGCCATATGTAATGTTTGTGAATAATTTACACGCATTTCTAATGCTTTAAATAAACTAGGTGGTCTCTAATAACCTATAGCTAAACAAAAGCAGCAGGCTCTCTCTGGAATATTGTGGGCTGTTCAACGTGTTTCAATTCTGCTGTAAAATGCTCACGATTGTTCCGCAAGGTGAGTTCTCCATTCTCTATTGTACCATTGTAGGGAGGTACCAGGCAGGTGCCAACGTTTGCGAGTAAGAAGCAGGAAAAATGAGATCAGAGTCACCCAGGGTCGTACACACCCAGTCGCTCCCCTCCTTTATCTTCAGGGGCTAACGGTAACGTTCTGGTATTTGGGGTCTTATCACAAGGCTCATTCAAGAAATTTTTAATTTATTTGCAAAGCATGCGGTTCGGATACAGTGATTATGGTTAAAGGGATATTTTCAAAGGTCATTTAGTCTGAGAAAGGCTGAGAGACTGGAAAAAAAGGCCTGTAGCAAAGTCACCTGGCACGTCTCTAGATGTCAGGCTGGCTCAGTTGGCAGCACTATCACCTCTGACTCAGAACGTTTTGGATTCAAGCCCCATGTCAGGACTTGGAACCCATTTAGTCTGTGCTGAAACTCCACTGCAGTGCTAGAGGTGTGCGATGTCAAACCGAGGTCCCATCTGCCTGTCCAGGTGGATGTTAAAGATCCCGTGGCACAATTTCAAAAGAGAACGGAGTTTCTCACGTGAAGCACTTTAAGCCTCCTCCCAACATGAAAGACCATCTTCCGACACCAAGTCTAAGGATTATTATAATTATTTATTGGTAATTCCCAGACCCAAATGTTATTATTTTGGTGTTGCCAATCCAAGTACATTTCTTTGACAGACTGATTTCACGTTTCCACTCAAACGCCTCAGATTGGCACCACAACACATCTCTCTCTCCCGCCACATCCCCAAGGCCAAGGTAAAGTAAAAATGGACACAGGAAAAGTACCGTCACTGTCTTCGCTTTGACTCCACTGTCCATTACCAGAAACTGGACTATTACAGTGACAGAAAGTGTGGAAATCAGATTTTTGGCAAAACATTTAGTACACGTGTTCTTGTAAAAATTCCAAATGCATTATCTGGAGAACATCCAGAAACGTATCCTGTTTAGAAATTGCATCAGATTGACCTGTCTTCAGCCTGCACCAAGACTCTGAACAGTCCCTCTTTATATATAAGGATCTCTGGCTTACATCTCTCAGTGATGGGCACATCACTCACAGCCTGCTCAATAAATGATTAGTTCAGTCAATAGATTCTGTTTGTTCAATGAATCAAGTCAACCAGCGGGAAACTGAGTACTGAAGGACTTTATAGCTGTTCAAAAGACAGAAACGTCAAGGTAGTGTTCGATTTGCGAAAAAGAGAGCAGTTAATATCCATTTCTGCAAGGTCAAGAGAGACTCAAAGTTCCTTTCTGTGACACTATAGAACAGATTAAAAGGATTTCTTCATCAAGAGGTATCATAACTATAAGTTTATTAACATCTGTTCCTTTAAGATCATTTATTTTTATTTGGAAATTCGCCCGTATCAATCACGAGTGACATTCACCCCTTGGTATTTCACAGCTTCGACCAAAGCATTCAGACAGCACAAAGTTTTCATTCCCTGACATCCAATTAATCCTGAAACTCTCAATTCACCTCACTACCAATTCTCCCATCACCTGACTACTTTTACTAGCTGTCTTTACCGGGCTGCAGTAACAAGCACACCAGGTCACAGCAACTTTCTATGCCTTTCCCCATCAGCCGCTGATAAATTACTAGTCGTGTAGGAAAGAACGATGGCCTCCCATTCTTTCTCAGCTATAGACTGGAGCTGGGGAGACATTCGTTTGACTTGAATTATACACAAGAGGATTGGCAATGTCCAGCAAAAGAAAGAACTTGGCAGTCAATAAACATTCGCTTTTACCACATCGACACCTAAGTGCATTTAGCTGCTTTCCCCTTTCTATATATTTTCACACCACAGAGGCATCGGGTTACAAATGGCATTGATAAAAAATACTTTCACGAAGAAATAAATTCAATATAACTAGAGGAAGAGCCTGGTGCCTATTATTCAAAAGGTACTAAATACACATTGCATTGTTTAATGAGGCAGAACATTTTCAAAGTCGTATTTATTACAATGAGTAGCTACATACAGAAGGCAGTGATAGCCTTTTTGGGTGTTGCTTACCTGTATGTCCCCGGGAATGGTGAGTGGAGGCAGACAACAGCTTGCAGCACAGCATTAAAACGTAGAGCAATAGCAACCGGTGAGTGAGAAGCATTGATTTCGCACAGAATCTCATCCTAAACAGAGACAGGCAGGAGGGAGGAAAGAAAACAAGACACTTTTGCTGGTTGGAAACTGAGATGTTATGCTTCAAATCCTTCCCACTGAAAGCCCATTCATTCTCAGAGCAAAATTACTTTGAATCTCTGGTTAGTGGTACGGTAAGTGAGCATTTTGTGGCCGGACATCCCAGAATATGTCACAGAGTGCCAAGATGTGAACTCATGATCAACATTTGGCAATGCAGGAATCCTGCCTGGGGAGGGAGAGGGGTGGGGAGGAGGGATAATATACTTCTTGTCCCATCCTCCCCCATGCTCCCCCGATCTATCCCATCATCATTGGATGAACTATCAGCAATTCTGCTCTGCTCTGTGAAACACCATCCCAGAGTCCCTCTGCTTCACCCACTCCCTCCCCACTTTCAAAACCACCGTAAAACCTATCTTTTCAACCATGGATAGGTTGGGTCCCTTACCACAGCCTGAATATTATCAGCTCCTAAAGGGCCAATTCATAGCTTTGGCCATTTCACAACAAGTAAGTGAAGTAACTTGTAAAATAAAAACTATTATTCGCCTTCATTGGGGTAAAATACACTCTCGGGAACTGCATTCCTTAATCCCTCTGTTTCTCCCCTCTCTGTTCTATCTACAAAAGCCACCTAACCACTTTGACGCTATCTCCCTCCTTATCATTGTGATTGGTACGATAAACCCATTTTTGTGCAAATAATTTCAATTACATTCCCTGACAAGGAAACTCCTTCATATACCTGAAGACGTAGATTCCAGTGAATCTTACCTTGATGATTATCTGAGAATTATGTTCAGATAAAAGTCTGTTTCAACACATTCTTCATGAATCCAAATTCCCATCTGATACACACCAAAAGCATCTCTATGTACCTCTGCTCAGCCTCTTGTCATAGGAAACTGCAAAGCAAAACAAATGGCGTATTAGTTTCCAAAAGTCTTCCACTATACATATACTGGCACTATACCAGTAACACATTGACACACAAACAGATACAGAGACAAAGGGCTGTCTTCTACAAATCACTTTGACACCTTTGGGTTAGTAGAAATCAGACAGATTCCTGCTCCTAATCTGTATCCAGTGAATCCTGCTGGAATGTCCGAATGCATGGATATCAGATAAAGCTGTGATGCCTTTCTCCCTGCTACAGTCTCATCTCTTGCTGAAAACTCACACATGAGATTTGGGCAATGAATTTGCGGTGAGCATGCACAAAACTATATCCCACCAAATGCCTTGGAGAGATGTGTTCAGGGAGAACATTGACTGGAGGCAGAAAAGGACCTTGGAAAAGTGTCAACGCTTGCTTTTGGGTCTAGTTTGTGGATTCAGGCCCCATGTCAAGGGATTAAGGGATATGGGGATAAGGCAGGGTTAGGTTATTAGCTGGAGTTAGATTAGAAGATCAGCCATGATTGAATGGCGGGGCAGGCTCGAAGGGCCGAATGGCCTACTCCTGCTCCTACATGTTATGCTATGTCAAGGGTTTGAGCTCATAGTCCAGGCTGACACTCCAACCGCATTGCTGGGGAAAGCTGCATTGTCAGAGCTGCCAATTCTTCCAATGAGATATTAAACCGAGATCCCGTCTCTTATTCTAGTGGATATTAAAGATTCCATAGCACTCATCGTAAAGAGAAGGGAGTTTTTCCCAGTGTTCTGGCCAACAATCTCCAAGATCCATTGGTCATTCACACCACAACTCTTTGTGGGATATTCCTGTGGATTCACCTACAAATACACTGTCACTTCACTTTCCAGCAATTACCTGTGAAATGCTTTGAAATATTTTAAAGTTATAGACAATATCTGAAATGCGAAGATGATTATTATAACACAAAAGAAAGAGGATTGTTTTTTACACCACATCCAAGTTGACACCACCAACTAGAGCTTTGCCTTGGGTTCAGAGCACGTCTCAATTAAATAGGCCAAATTCTGCAATAATGCAACATTGATTATACAAAAGATATTATCACTTGTTAGTTTCTAAAGATCTGCAAGGAATATTTCTGCAAGCTTACACACATCACAGAGCCACGCATGACAACAAATAAATAGGATTACATTACTGAGCATTACTAGTTGTAAAAAAAATCATTTTCCCTGTAGTAATTTTATTAACTTTATCGTTTTAGTCTTGGCACAATAACAGAGTTCCGACCGAGTGAAAACGTGACATTTTCTACTTGCGCTCTAACGTGTAATGGGGAAGAAAGCTTCTAAAGGGGCAGAGCAAACCAATGTTTCCACCTCATTTTCCGTATTTATCAAAGTATTGTTAGTGACTTGCATCATGGACCTGACTGGCCACGGGACTTTGGTATGTTCTCTAATGTGCCACTATAGTTCAGTTGGCAAGTGCTGCTGCTTCTGGGTCAGAAAGAGTTTTTGGTTCAAGCAAAACTTGAGCTCATTGGCTAAGCTGACACTCAAGTGCTCTGGGATGCTACAATACATGAAGAGTGCTATATAAATGTAAGTTGTTGTTATTGTAGTGCAGTACTGGGGGAGTGCTGCCTGACTGGTAAGGTACAAAAAATCGTCTGCCTGTTCTGATGGTTCAGATGGACATTGACAGATCTCACAGCACCATGTCGAAGCACATTAACTAATGTTCACCCTCATCCAAATTCACCAAGCAATAGATTACTGGAGTGAAATTCCACCTGGGTCTACATTTACTCTATTTATTCAGCAATTCAGGGATTCTAGGATTAGGCAAATTCTAGAACTCAGTCTTAACAGTGAAGTCAGTTTTCAGTGATTCTTAAAATAAACTTACAGAAAACAGGCTTCAAAATTAAGGCTTGGGTTTAAGAATTCTGGATACTCCAAAATACTCTATTAATGGAGCAAATCTAAACGAAGGTGGAAAGTTTCCCCTTTTACATGCTTATTCGTTTCATTAATCTTTTGGGGGGCATTGCTGTCAGAGATTGGCTTCCATCTTTGCCTATAGAACAACAAGCAGCACCATTCTTCAAAATAGTTAATTGTGTCCAGCACCCTGAGACATTTCAGATGTGATATGATAATACATCAAATGCAACCTGACCCAGTAAAGGGCTGTTACTGCCACACTGGGAGCCTCGTTGCTTGACAAAGCCAGGAACAGCTCACTTTAAAAATTCCCCTAAAACATCACCTGCTGTCAGATGCCAGAGAACTTTCTATTTCCACTGTGAAGCAAACTTTTCTAACTCCGTTTTCCACTTACTCAAGTCGGTTATTATTTCTGCTCTTTCGAAATATTGTCCAAATGATTGACCAATGCTGAGAACAACGTCACTGTGCTCTCATGCGTTTAATAGCCTGGCAATTCATCCTGCAAGGTGATTTAGCAAGTACTGTGTACTTGCTAGTACTGTGCTCCTTTACATTGAGTTTAGACTGCACCCGTCTGCTGTACGCTGAGTAAGGTGCAAATATTTGCATTTTCATACAAATTTGCAGTCACTCCACCTGACAGCAATTCTCTGTGGTGTACTTTGCGACGTCTCTAAGATATAGGTGCTATCTCAAAGTAGTCTCCCATTGGGCTTTGTTTCTGCACATGCATGTTTTACAATCGTGATAACGTCATAATTTCCAAACATTCAGAGAGAGTTTGGCATATGGGCCTGATGCTATATAACAGTAATGTAGGCCAGGAGTTGCAGATGAGCATCAGTCGATTTTGCTGCTTGGCATTCTTCTGCCGTTATTTAGGTTATCAGCTGGAGAACCTAACTGGCTAAAACGTGTGACATTATCACGTCAAGTCAGAGCACCATCAGCGTGGTGTCAATTCAATCCTGTGCTCAATGGGACCAGGACGACAATGTGTGCTGCAAAAGCCGAGTCTGATTAGTATCATCTCTCTAGCTGGCATCTAATTTAAAATAAACCTGACCAGGATTCAATCAAAAGTAACTCAACACTCGCTTAAACAACTGGCAAAGAAAACTATTTGGTGATGTGCATTGATCAAACGTTACGAGAAATCAGGGCTAAAGAGCATCAACTCTAAGCAAATGTTGTCTTTAACCAACCATCCCATAAACACAGTATCCTACGGTTTGGTGGGTATTTATATGATAGGAATGGATTATACTGTAGTGTGTGTCACTGTGTGCTGTAACAGATGTGTAAAATATTAAACCGCACTGAAGCCCTTAGATCACACTGTATTATGTGTTTAACTACACTGGAAATTCCATTTACTTGTTAGATGGGGCATGCAAGCCAGGGCTAAGTAGTAATCATAATAATACTTGCATTGGTTGTAACGCCTTATCACACTAAAACATACCCAAGTGCTTCAGCAATGAGTTAATTTACACAGTATTGGTCTTCCCCAAATAAACACAGCAGCCAGTCTGCACTAGCAATGTCCCACAAGCAGCAAGAAGATGAAATGTAATCTGCTGGGGGGCGGGCTGTACCTTTGAATGAGGGAGGAATATTGTCTGAGAACTCCCTGATCTATGTCAAAAGAAAGCCATGGGATCTTTACATCCACCAGATCTGACTATAAAGCAGCTTTGCTCCCAGACTCTGTCCCGGTTCTGATAAAGGAACCTACCCAAAATGTTAACCTGCTTCTGACGAAAAGTCATCGACCTGAAATGTTAACTCATTTTCCTCTCTCCATAGATGCTGCCTGACCTGCTGAGCGTTCCCAGCCACTTCTGTTTTTATTTCATATTTCCAGCTGCTGCAGTATCTTTTTGCCTTTTGATTATTTATTATGTTAATCTGGCTTCCTTTCAGCTGCTCAGTGACTTGCTACAATGATAAAAAGTTTCATTGGATATACTTACTGTAGCACATACAATATTAAAAAGTCTCAATCTGCTTCACAAGTGTTGCTGTTAAGACTAGTAGTGAATGTGTACTCGGAAGCAAATACTGCAGGCCAATTCAGGTACAGCAAAGTGCTACCAGCAGTCATGATCTGAATAGATCTGGAGGATTGATTGATGGCCAGAATTTTGAGAGGAA